ATTGTACTTATGTTAAAATTTTTAAAAATATATTACAATACTATTTTTTGCATTCAATGAAAATTTTTGTTGCTCCATATAGACCAAATTTTTAATCAAGAACCTCCCCCCCGCTCCCCCCCCCCCCCCCCCCCGGGTCAATGGATTTTACCAATGTTAAAATCTGGTCACCTTAAGCTGCAGGGCTCCTGGTAGGACTTCCAGGAGGAGGAGGAGGAGAGGAGGGGAAGGAGGGATGGAGGAGGCGGACGCGGGGCCAGCAGAGAGGCAGAGGCACAGAGCTCCCGCCTTGGGCTGGCCGGGTGGGTCCCTGGCCCCGGGCGGGGAGGGAGGGTGAGGCGGGCGTGTGACTGAAACGGGCAGGAAAGCACGCCAGTCAACAGGCTCAGCTCCATGGATGTTCACCCCCTGGATCAGGACCTGGATCATTCCCAGCGCCCACCCCCCAGGTCCCCTCCTGATGCAGGAACCCCATAGAACCCCACGGGGTCAGAACCAGCTGACAGCTAACAGGCACATCTCCTGTTGAGATGAGCCGAGCAAACTGGGAAGTGTGTGTGTGTGTGTGTGTGTGTGTGTGTGTGTGTGTGAGTTGTGTGTGTGTGTGTGTGGGGGGGTGTAGGCGGGGGAGGAGCATGAACTATTCCAGTCATTTACATCACTCACACACGGGGGTGATAGCTCCCAAATAAAGAATGCAAGAAGTATTCCAGTTATTTGACTTTTTAAAAAATCAAGTTAAATCCTGAGCCAGTTACCATCCCACCGGCTGCCCAGAGGTTGACCTTGGCTGTGACAGGGGCTCCGGGGCTCCCTCTAGGTCATGGGGGAAGGGGGGTTTCTGCAGCACCAGAGTTTAGGGGAGGCCCCTTGGACCAGATCATCCGGCTGCCCTGGTGACCATGGAGACGCCCATTTCCACAGAGGATGCAACCCCTTCCTGGCGGGAGATCCTGCTGCTTCGGGGCCAGTTTGGGGTCCTGGGAAGTTTATTGAGGCTGAGGGTCCTCAGGGGTCCCACACAGCTGTGTACAAAGAACCGAGAGCTCCCACCTCTGTCCCACCCCATTCTGAGGGGCTCATCCCTGTTCCTGCTCTCAGATTCTCTTTCTCTCTCCACCCCCTCGCTCCATCCCTCCTTCCCTCCATCCGTCCCTCTCTGGGAATTTAGTAGAATTGATTTAGTGATTTGATCAAGTTTCATTTTTATCCTGTCACATATAATCTCCTCTTCAAATCCTTTTAGGAAGCCTAAGGGGGCCCTGGCTGGTTTGGCTCAGTGGATAGAGCTTCCGCCTGTGGACTCAAGGGTCCCAGGTTCGGTTCTGGTCAAGGATTTGGTCCCCAGTAGGGGGCATGCAGGAGGCAGCCGATCGATGATTTTCTCTCATCATTGATGTTTCTATCTCTCTCTCCCTCTCTCTGAAATATATATATATATATATATATATATATATATATATATATATTATATATATATATATGTTGTTGTTGTTGTTGTTTTAAAGAGTTTACTTGAGCCAAAGCGAATGCATTGCCAAGAAGCAAGACCTCAAATGCTCCGAAAAAGACAGTCTGCCATTCTTTTATATATCTGGAAGGAAGGAGGGAACCTGAGTTGGATCCAGCAAATTAAGGAGGGAACACATGGGCTGGCCCAGTGGGGCCAAGGAACAGGCAGGCAAACACAGCGTGAAAAATGCCAACACAGTGAGGGCCCAGAGAAGGACTCCACACAGTCTTCTGAGAGCAGATCGCCCAGCTGAGTCCGGGAGGGTGAGTGGGAAGACACCAAATGAAGATGTTAGCAAAGACGACACAGGGAATTCAGAGGGGGTTGTATTCATACCTCACTTGCCAACCAGGGACGTGTTCCCAAGTGCAGGGGGCAGGGCCAGGATTTAAGAGGCAATGGTGCAAGGAGCTGATGATCAGAGAGCTGGGTTGCTAAGGGAAACAAGACCACAAACTCAACATCATTTGTTTTCTGACCACTCGGCTGACCCAGGGGTCAGCAAGAGGGGCCGAGAGACAGGGACACTGAGCAGCGTATGATGAGGCAGGTATCACAGCCCTGGTTCTGGTTCCGGCTTGTAGAACACAAGCTGTTGGGTGACGTATCAACAGGGGTCAAACGGCTCAGAGGGACCGGTGGCTCAGTGGACAGTTTCCAGAGTCTTCCTCCGTAAGCAGTCTCAGAGCTCAAACTGCAGAGATCCGAATGCTGGGCCACAAGTCATGATATGGAAAGTTCTTCTGTATCCTCAAAGAGGAGGAGAGCGTGTGTGTGGGGAAAGGGAGAGCATGCAACAACACTCTGAGGTGAGAAAATCTGGAACCGCTGTGGTGTAGAATGTGTGTGGGTGGGGGATGGTGGGGTGTGGGGTGATAGGCCATAAGCCTGACCGGAGAGCTAGGGCCAGCAAGAGCCAAGATAATTCTGAAGAACAAGGAGAGGCTCGTCCTGTTAACACGGAGACATTGTGTAGACTCCTCTTAGTAAGAGTGTGTGGCTTAGAGATAAACAAACCAGTGGAACGGAGCCAAAACTCTAAAAATTAACCCGCACACATGTAGAAACACGATGATGATAAAGAAGGCATGATGAGTCAGTGGGACCAAGGTGTATTATTAAATAAATAGAGGCCCGGTGCATGAAAATTCATGCATTGGAGGGGGAGTCCCACAGCCCAGCCTGCCCCCTCTCACAGTCTGGGAGCCCTCAGGGGTGGAGGCAACTCAGCAATCAGGGGAGGGTGATGCTCCTATCACACCTCTGCTGCTGCTACTGCCAGCAGCGCAAGCCTTGGCCATCTCTGGTTCCCTGAGCCTCGGGCAGCCCTGGGCAGCTGGGGGGCTGAGAGGTCTGGGCGCTGCCATATTGTGGCTGTGGGTACCGCCATCTTTGAGGGCGTGACAGTCAATTAGCATATTCCCTCCCTATTGGCTGTGGGCACTGCCATCTTTGAGGGTGTGGCGGTCAATTAGCATATTCCCTCATTTATTGGCTGTGGGCATTGCCATCTTTGCGATGGTGTGAGGGTCAATTAGCATATTCCCTGTTAAATAGGATGGTGTCAGAGCAATTGGCTACGCATATAGGGAAAAAAAACTTAGAACCCTTCTCACACCACACATGAGAGAAACATATTGATTGGTTGCCTCTTGCATGTGCCCCGACCAGCACCCATGCCAGGGAGGAGCCTGAAACCGCTGGTCCCAACCAACCGGCCAGGGCTGAGAGCGTTTTAATTAATACGTTGAAAGAACAAGAAAAGTCGACCACGTTGAAGGAATTAACTCACCCACTCTCTGGGAGGCTCTACCCCCCACACAATTTGTTCAACACAAAGCAACCCTTTCAGACGCCCAAGTTCTCCTCCAGCCCCCAGTCAGGTCCTCTCCCGTGGACCCGAGCTGGGCATTCCTTTCCCAGATGAGCTAAATCATGAGTTTAGAGATTAGCCCACGTGGAGGTTGAGTTCATCTAATGAGATCTTGGACATCATCCTACGTTAACCTAAATCATGAAGTTAAGGTTGTCAAAATATGTATGATAAACATAAGACATTTTAAAATGCAGCCATTTAAAAACCTGGCGGGTTTTTCTCTGTGGTTAAGAGCGTTGGCCCGCCTACTCGCCAAGGGCAGGCACCTCCCAGGTCCTGATGTGGGCACGTGTGGATGGGGGGTGGGGGATCAGTAGATATGTCTCTCTCACATTGATCTCTCTTTCTCTCTCTCCCTTCGCTCCCTCCCTCCCTCCCTTCTTCCCTCCCTCCCTCTTCTTCTCCTCCTGCTCCTTCTCCTCCCTCTTTCTCTAAAGATCAATGGGAAAAATATCCTCGGGAGAGGATTAAGTAAGCAATACAATACAATATAAATAAAATAAAATAAAATAAAATAAAATAAAATAAAATAAAATAGAGCCAGAGCTGCCATGCCAGAGGCACTGCCTTGCACTCTCCCTACTCCAAACCTTAGTCTGCTAAAAAGGAACAAAATAATCTTTGGACCGGGCCTGGGACAACACTAGGTCCCAAAGAGCTGTTTACAGAGATAACAAAGAAGCTGATATCAGAAATTACAAACCCAAGGGATACAACGACCACCGCCGGTCCTGCCATCTGCGCCACGGACATGCCTCCCTCACAAATACCCTGCCTTTGTCTGCTGATGGGGACGGACATCCCTTGGGCTTCTGCCCGAACCCGTGGTTCCCAAACAGCTATTCTTGTGGAGCTCAAATAAACCCTGTTGTCTCTCCCTTTGAAAGCCCTTTTTATTCTGTAAGCTCGTCAAGTCTGGGTTCCGTTACTGGATGTTGATTTAAGGCCCTTAAATCAACATCGGGCCACCTTAAATCTGTAAAGAAAGAGCAAGTGGGTAACGAGGCGAGTATGAGACCCTGGTGACCTGTCCGGTTTCCGAGGCTCAGCATCCGAGTCCCCCACGGCCCGTGTGCCCCCTAGAAACCCCTTCTGCCGCAGGGCGGGCGACCGCGGGGTCAAAAACACGGAACAGGCAGAGGGAGCGCAGTGCGCAGGCGCGCCCGAAACCTCCGCCAGTTTTCCGCGCCGCCGCCGCCGCCTTCCGGCCGCACTGCGCAGGCGCGCAGGCCGACCCAGCCTCCCCTCCCCCCGCTCTTACCTCTTTCCGAAGCCGAGGACGCCCTTCCGCAGCCCTGAGCCTCTGCGCACGCGCCGCCGCGCGTCCCCGCCCCCGCCCCCGGACCAATTGGAAGCGGCAGCGCCTGGGCGCCGGGGGCACGACGCCGTGGGCGGGGCCGGGACGTGAGGGCAAGCGTGCTGGCGACACAGGGCGACTATATAAGTGAATACAGGCACCGCCCCTCGCCCCAGTGACTGAGCCGCCGCCGAGGACTCAGCAACCTCCCCCTCGAGCCCCCCTCGCTTCCCGACGCTCCGTCCCCCCTGCCCGCCTTCTCCCGCCGCAGCCTTCCGCAGGCCGTTTCCACCGAGGAAAAGGAATCGTATCGTATGTCCGCTATCCAGAACCTCCACTCTTTCGGTGAGCGGCGGGCCGGGCCCGCGGGGAAGGCCCGGGCGGGGCGGCGGGGCTGCCGAGGCCCAGCGGCGGCCCCGGAGAGGCCCCCTAGCGCTCGGGCCTTTGTCACTGTGTGCGGAGGGGACGTGTCTGGGCTCGTGGGCAGGGGGGACCGGGCCTGGGCCTTGGGGTCGGCCCCCGAGCGGGACCGGAAGACTTAGGACGAGAGGTCAGCCCTTGGGCGGGCCCAGCGTCTCGGGTGGCGCATTTACTAATGGCTCCGGCAACCCCGCCGGCCACACCCGCCTCCTCCCGCCTCCGCTGCGTCACATCCTGTACGTCCTGCCGTTGTCCCGGGCCCCGGGGAGGGGGGCGGCCCCAGCTCTAGAGTGACAGACGCGCGCGCCAATGGGGCGGGGAGGCGGCCCCGCCTCGGGAGCTCGGGTTCCGGCCGGTTGCATCAGCCGACTGGGGCGGTGCCCGCCTGCCCGCCCGCCCAGGCTCCCCCGACACGTGATCGGCTGCCGAGGGCGGGCCCGGACGGAGGCCCAGACTTTTGGCGGGGCTCGGGGAGGAAGCCACTCGTCCCCGACCGACATGTTCCGGGGGAAGAGACCACAAAGGACATCATCTGATCTGACCCAGTTCTTGGGCGATGGCGGGATTCGTTTTCTGCACTCAACAAAAGACCCGGTGGGAGGGGGACAGTGGCAGCTGAGCCGCCAGGGCTCTAAACTTGTACCTTTTCTTCCCAGACCCCTTTGCTGATGCAAGTAAGGGTGATGATCTGCTTCCCGCTGGCACTGAGGATTATATCCATATAAGAATTCAACAGAGAAACGGCAGGAAGACCCTTACCACCGTCCAAGGGATCGCCGATGATTACGATAAAAAGAAACTAGTGAAGGCCTTTAAGAAGGTAGGTCTTGCCGAAACCAATTTGGTTCAGTGGATAGAGCGTCGGTCTGCGGACTGAAGGGTCCCGGGTTCGATTGCAGTCAAGGGCATGTACCTTGGTTGGGGGCACATCCCCAGTAGGGGGTGTGCAGGAGGCAGCTGGTCCATGTTTCTAACTATCCCTCTCCCTCCTTCCTCTCTGTAGAAAATCAATAAAATATTTTTTTAAAAAGAAGGTAGGTCTTCGTTGGAGGAAATAGACCTTTAGTTTTGCTCACATGCAGGTGCTGTGGTATCCCCCTCCTCCCCAAAGGGATGATGATGGCCTGGCCTAATCTGTAATCTGTCTTGCTTCCCTTGCAGAAATTTGCCTGCAATGGTACTGTAATTGAGCATCCAGAATATGGAGAAGTAATTCAGCTGCAGGGTGACCAGCGCAAGAACATATGCCAGTTCCTTGTCGAGGTGAGTTCTGTCACTTGTGTTGGTGCCTCTGCTCCAGCTAATCTCAGATCCTGCCTAATGGATTCGTTTCTGCTGGGAAGATTAGATAGACCTTTCCTTTTGTAAGGCTGAGCGAAATGGTTGAGTTTCAAAGTGCATAGACGCATGTATTTTCAAAAACAGGAGGAACTTGTCTGCTTTAAGTTTACTTTTTTTTATGGACCCACTTTTCCTTTTTAAAAAATGTTTGAATTTAAAAAATCTTTATTGTTGAAAGCACTATATATGCCCCCTCATCCCCCCGTTTTATGGTTCTGATTTTAAAAGTTGCAGATTTAAATAGTGTGTAGACAGGTACTAAGCTAAGCAGGAAGTCTGGTTGGCTGTTCCTTCTAGCTGCTGAAATCGGTTACATGGTTGGTATTTAGCTAAGTACCCTGAGTTGAGAACCACTGCTCCTAGTGGTTGGGGTATGCATCTTGGCCCTTGGCCCTCCCTTGCTCAGTGTAGAAGCAGGAAGGTAGGACCCTTGAACTCTTTCAATCTACTCTTTAAAACTTTTGCCCTTTTATGTTTTTGCAGATTGGACTGGCTAAGGACGACCAGCTGAAAGTTCATGGGTTTTAAGTGCTTTTGGCTCAGAAGCTTAAGTGAGGATTTCTTTGCAATGAGTAGAATTCCCCTCCTGTCCCTTGTCACAAGTTTAAAAACCTCACAGCTTGTATGATGTAACCATTTGGGGTCTGCTTTTAACTTGGACTAGTGTAACTCCTTCATGCAATAAACTGAAAAGAGCCATGCTGTCTAGTCTTGAAGTCCCTCATTTAAACAGAGGTCAAGCAGTGGGCGCCTGGCAGTGTCCAGCCTGAACCAGCAGTTCCGTGAGGTTTCAGCCAAGCCCATGTCTGGCCAAAGCTCCTCACCAGAGTTCCCTGCCCTCAGAGAATGTCACCGCCTGAGCAGCCTTCCCTGAAGCGGAGAGGAGAGGGGGCAGGCAGCAGCGGCATGTGTACCACTAGAGGGAGCCCTCCGTAGTCAAAGATCTACACCTGATGGAGCTCAGAGCAGCCTGCCACCTTCCCTCCAGGGAGGTGTAAGGACTCCAGGCTTGCCACCAAGGTCTTTCTGACCCTACATACCCTAGCTCATTGTCCAAACACCATAATTTGAGGCCAATCTTCTATCCGAGTTAAACTTTTGACAAGGGAACAAATTTCAAACTGAAGTGTCAGTCGTGTAGCTAGCTGTAGAGCTTGCAACTTAATAGCAGCAGCTGCCCAATGCCATGTGAAGTAAAAGAAAAAAGATTTTTGGGGTGTTTTTTTTTTTCCTCCAGTTTTAATGTTATGTTATGTATTTAAACCCTTATTTAAATAAAACTTGTTTTCAGAAACACCTAACCTGCAGATTCTATTGTATGTATGTCTGTGTGTGAAAGAAGCACAGAAGTGGGCAGGGGGTTCTGTCTACCCCAGAGTTTCAACTGGGGCCTTAACAAGTGGGCCAAGAAAACAGTGAGCTTTCTCCTTTAAGTTTCCCAAGAGAACATAGTGTGGGGCTTCCTAATCTCCAAACCCCTAGAAAAGGTATGCAAAAGTGGACTAGAAGATTAGGTTTGTAGTATTAAAAAGCATAGTGACTGATGTGTTTGTGAAGTTGAAATATCGGGAGCCAATCCTTGACAAAGTACAATGAAGAGTCAAGTATGTGCACTCCAGGGTCCATTCTGTTAAACATTGTATAATCCAACATAAACTGGATCATAAACCAGTCCTAACTTAAGATACTGAAATAACAGGCTGCCAACTGCTAAAAAGGTTATCAGGAACCAACACTCGCCAGCCCCCATTTTGTAGATCAAGGTCAAACGAATGTGTGGAGGTCGTCTGGTGAAAAGGCTGAACCAATGGCAAATGCCTTGAAAATAGGATTCTAATCTCAGTGACGGGTTTCTAACACAGGGTCTTACAAAATTGACCTGTTTAACCACTTGCCACTTTGCTCCAAATGGCATTGTTCAAAACATTTGGGTGATATTTTTAAAAGACAACAAAAGGGCTTTTCCTAGAGAAATTAATAGAAGTAACACGGGGCCGAACCCACGGAATCACAGAAGATGGGATGAAAGGGAATCCTGCCATAGTGACTGTGCAGGTCTGAGTGAGGCTGTTCACGTCGGTGCCTTTGAAGGACCTGCAGTTTTCCCCGAGGGGATTGTTCTGAGATCAGCTAGCAACACCAGTATTAAGTAAGCTGTCTGCAACCATTCAAAACGATCTGTTGACGGGAGTTTTATAAATGCCCTAATGTGGTTGATGTGACATAGGTGTATCTCACGCTTGAAGTAATAAAGCATAATTGTCTCCATTTGATGGTTGAAAGAACTGAGATGTGGAAATGACAAGGTTAACAAATGATAGAGCCTCATCTACCCTGGGTTCTAGAGCTGCTCAAGAACTTGGGTAAACTATAATCCAGTCTGTTCTTCCCATCATATCGGATGTACCTTCACAATTTAAATAGCTCCGTTTACATTACAGACCTTGAGTCTTGGTTCTTGCCGTGTACTGGGGGGTTACAGGGCAAGCAAAGGTATGTCAGCAGACAGCCTCATGGGATGTAAGACCAGCATAGCCTTGCTATGAGGCAGAAGGGCCAGTGCCAGCCCTTGGCGTCGCTAAAGAGCACAGGATCTCTGAGGATTGGGAAGGCTTCCCCTCCCATCCACGCGCAGGGGGCCATCTGAAGGTAACATTGGCAATAACTGCAAAAGATCCTTACATAACTCAATATGTTAACATCAAGTTCTAGAGAAAGAACATTGTTATTTTCGAATCCTCACCTGAGGATATGTTCTTACTGATTTTAGGAGAGAGAGAGAGAGAGAGAGAGAGAAACATCCATGTGAGAGAGAAACAGGAGTTTAAATCCCCAACCCAGATATATACCCTGTCCAGGAATTCAGGACATTGCTCCAACTAACGGAGCCACCAGCCCGGCCAAGATAGATTTGTAAAACTGATAAACAACTTTTCAAAAATGTTACCAAAACGAAGTCTGTTTGGCCTGTGGGTGCCTGTGACTCGTTTGGTATGAGGTGTGACAGCCTCAGGCTAGAAGCCCCGCCCCCGCCTGTGAACTCCAACACATGGCCCCCTTAGGGCCAGAATGTCTGGTTCAGCAGCTCTGACGGACCCCCAGGAACTGGCTTTTTTAACCAGCATCAGCCAATTCCTAAGGAGGGCCCCAAACCATGTGTGGGGAGTTAGTGAGGAAACCTGAGCAGGGAAGAAGCACTCTGAGAGCTAACCTTCAGGGAAAGGAATCAGAAGTCTCGCATTGAAGAGGATTAGAAAGTGGGGGTAGAGGGTCAGAACTTGGTTACCAGCATTTGTGACTTGTGAGACTGTCCATGGCTTTGATCAGATTCCTTTATTTAAAAAATATACTTTATTGATTTTTTTACAGAGAGGAAGAGAGAGGGACAGTTAGAAACATCGATGAGAGAATCACCGATCAGCTGCCTCCTGCACACCCCCCACCGGGAATGTGCCCGCAACCAAGGCACATGCCCTTGACCGGAATCGAACCTGGGACTTTTCAGTCCGCAGGCTTACGCTCTATCCACTGAGCCAAACCGGTTTCGGATGATCAGATTCTTAAAAGAGCCTGATAGCCAAAACGGTTCATCAGTGGTCCCTGGTTACCTCCCAAGGCTAACAAAAGCCCCGGTGGTTACCAGGTTTCCCAGGCCTATCCCAACATGCAGCAACAGTGCATATTCTCATGTCAACTTGTAAAGTTAATAACTATTTAAAAATATCGGTAAATATCTCCAAAACCAACTGTGTATCGGGTGGAAGGCGCACACGAAGCCCGGCTCCACAGAGCGGGGTGTGACTCACTCGGTCCCCGGCCACTATCGCCAGCCCCAGCAGTCTGAGCGCTGCACAGGTTAAATCATCTTTAATCATAGTCCTTGATGGTTAATTTACACCCAGAATGGATGATTGCTTAAACACAGGGAGCACAAGATATATTAATGTGGAGCACAAACACGTCAGCATTCGGTGTGTGTGGGGCAAGCAAGTCATCGATTCTCACTCTATTTCTGTGAAACGACAGAAAATGAGCAGAAGGACAACGTCAGATGCAGAGAGACGTGACCTGCCTGGTTCCGTGATCCACCGTGGAGACGGAACTAAAGACCGCCGCTCAGCATCACCTGGGAACTCGTTAGATGTGTAGGATATCACCCCCTCCACACACCTGCTGAACCAGTCTTCCTTTTACCAAGTTTGAGAAGCACCCGTTTGAACCCTAAAAGCAGCAGACTTCAAATTGTGTTCTGTGAGCTGGTTTTCAAAAACAAAAAACCAAAACACACAACAGCATTATTGTGACTTTTCACTTTTTATAAGTGCATTTTTATGACAGAGTTTGATCTGCATTGAAATGCACAAAATCAGATGAATACAGAAAGCAATAATGCTGGGACCATTGCATAGCCACATGCCAAAGAATGAAGTTGGGCCCGTACTTAACCACCATATACAAAAAGGAACTCAAAATGGGTCACAGTCCTAACATAAGAGCTAACAAGATAGAACTCTTAGAAGAAACCATGAGTTAATGTTTGTTTTTTTAATCTATTGTTTTTCTAGTCAGGCAGTAGCAAGGTTGCTCTTTGACCCAGAGGGAGACATTACCTCATGCCTTGAGGTTACTCACCTCAAACACAGCCCTGAGACACGGTGCAGGTAGAGACAGGTCCGGCATTCTTGGCATACAAGAGCGCTCCAGGCCGAGGTGGATCGCTTCTCCCAACAATCACCAATCTCTGTGTCTCTGGCTATAAATGAGGGGTCATTGTATCACCCTCCTCGTGGGGCTGTGATGAGGATCATAAGATATCACGCCTGCAAAGTGCTGACCGTAGGAGCTTGGCCCTACAAGTGCTCCCTAAATGTCCATCGCCATAATTAGGGGAAGAGGGAGGTGAAAATGAGTTGTAGATGCCAGCAGGCTTGCATGGAGGAGAACGTCAAGGTCCCGGGGTAAGGAGGGGCCTCTCTGCTCACTTCCCCACCACAATGTTCAGGACACTGCTTCCGCTCCAAGAGACAAGGAACAAAGACCTGCTTGGTCACCATTGTGTCCCCAGAGTCAGCACAGAGCCTGGCACAAAAAAAGCACTTAAGAAATATTTTTAATCCTCAACTGAGGATATTGTTTTAAAAAATATATTTTTATTGATCTTGGAGAGGAAGGAGAGGGAGAGAGAGATAGACACATGGATGATGAGAGAGAATCATTGATCGGCTGCCTCCTGGGGATGGAGCCCCCAACCTGGATATGTGCCCTGACTGGGAATTGAACCGTGATCTCCTGGTTCATAGGTGGACACTCAGCCTCTGAGCCACACCAGCCAGGCCTCACCCAAGGATATTTTTCCATTGATGCTTAAGAGAGAGGGAGGGACAGAGAGAAACACCAATGTGAGAGAAACACTTCGGTTGGTTGCTTCTTGTACATGTCTTGACCAGAGCCCGGATGGGAGGGAGGGGGTGAAGGGGCCTGCAGCCAAGGTACATGCCCTGGACTCTAACTGAACCCAAGACCTTTCC